TGATGGAATGCTGTATGTGACACAAGTACAACTAAGACTGGTAACCTAGTCTATACCTCCCTTACACATGTTACTACAAAGACACATGTAACCAAAACTGTGGTGTAAGCGGGGAGTGTGAAGCCATATGGTGACAACCATGAAAGAACAGAACAGAACAGAACAGAACAGAACAGAATAGAATAGAATAGAATAGAATAGAATAGAATAGAATAGAATAGAATAGAATAGAATAGAATAGAATAGAACAACAGAACCTTGGAGGTCTTCTAGTCCAGCCCCCTGCTCAGGCCGGAGAACCTATACCATTTCAGACAAGTCACTGTCTCGTCTCTTCTTAAAAACCTCCAGCGATGGAGTGTCCACAATTTCTGGGGGCAAGCTGTTTCACTGGTTAATTGTCCTCACTGTTAGGAAGTTTCTCCTTAATTCCAGGTTGCTTCTCTCTTTGATCAGTTTCCAACCATTGTTTCTTGTCCTGCCCTCTTGCAGCTGGAAATGTAGGAGTAGAAGATTGCAGCTGGAAATGTAGGAATAAAGTATAATGAAATAATGAATGAAATGAAAGAAAATAGATATGGTGTGGGTCTGTGAAACTAAGAGAAAGAGAAAGAAATACAATATATCTGAATAAAGATAGTCTGATCTTGTCGAGTGGAGATGATGGATAGTTGTGTGGAAATGAAAACATAAAATTAGTTATGAATGGAAGAGCTAAGTTATATGTCTGACAGTAAGAACCAGAGTCATCTAGGTTGTTGATGGTAATTGTATGTTGCATTCCACTATCAGAGATGACTTTTTCTATGTAGCAGTCCATAGAAGAAATATTTTATAAGAGAACATGAACGGATAAGGGGAAATAGGATGAGAGTATAGAAAAAGCAATTACATTATCAGACACCCAAAAAGGAATGAGAATGGTAACTCTTTGGTAAGCATCTCTTAAGAAAAAGGTCTATTAGTTTCAACTTTTATACTTTAATATACAAGGCATCAAATTAATATAAACTTTAATATATGATTTATTTAATTGTATATGAAGAATGAGAAGAGTGCAAAGATGATACTATGTTTAGTTAAAATGCAAAAGATTTATACATCTGAAGACAAACTGGAGTATATTTAGATAAATGCTCCAAAGTACCCTATTTCTCATTACCTTGCAGAATTCTTGCAGAATTCCCGTAGTTTCCATTATTGCATCTAAATACCTCATTTGCTATTGACCTCTTTTTTTCTTGCCTTACACCCTGACCAGCATATTGATGAAAAGCAACAGGGTTGATAAATGTAGTATAACCTATTATTTATGTCAGGAATGAATCCTAGGGAAAATGGTCACAGAAGGAAAGAAAAGCAATTAAAGAAATGAAGATAAAAGTATATTGATTGTAGAAAAAGAATAGAATAGAATAGAGCTGGAAGGGACCTTGGAGATCTTCTAGTCCAGCCCCCTGCTCAAGCAGGAGAACCTATACCATTTCCGACAAGTGACTAGTTCTGTATGAAAAAGTATTCAAAGATAGATTACTCTCCAAATAAGATGTATAGAATGTTAGGAAAAACTATGTGGAAATTGCTAGAACAAAGTCAATGTTATAAAGTGCTTGAGAAATATGGGAATTACACTAAGAAGAATGAAAAGAATGAGACAGTAAATGCATATAAGAGAATAATTATTGAAAATGTTAGGAAGAAAGAAAAATATTACATAAGGTATAGAGAGAACAATACTGTAATTTCAGAGAATATAGTCAAAGAACAAGGGACCATTTTACAATTAGAACAAGCATTAAAAATGCAGAATTATTTTGATGGAAATAAAATGTTTTGGAAATGGGTGAAGAGAGCTAAACAAGGAACTTCTGATAATGTTAATGTAAAAAAGAAGAGTGATGCACTGTGAAAATGTTGACAATTATAGGGAATCCATGTGCCCCTAGAAAAATGTTATATAGATGAGGCTTGCTTATCTAATGGTTGTGTAATTTGTTTAATGTTTGTGTGAAGGCTGCATCTGGGCATGCCTGACATTTGGAAGAAAGGTATTATGAGTGTGTATTGATGATAAAATTCAGTAAGCACTACGATAAAAGTGCATTGAAAATGAAGAACGATTTATTTTCAAAACAAATGTATGAGGAATGAATGAGAAAGGGGAAGACCAAAAAAACTATAGTTTGAGTCAATGAGGTCTTCATAAAGAAAGAGATTTTAAAAACAAAAGGCAGTGCGTGAAGCAGTACGTGGCTACGATAAAGCAGAGACGGCTTAGAACAGTGGTTCTCAACCTTTTTAATGCCGCGACCCCAACCGGTCGTAAGTCGAGGACTACCCAACCGGTCGTAAGTCGAGGACTTTCCCTGCCCGGGAGCGCCGCGCATGTGTGGTTCTGCCCCCTGCGCCGGCCGAGGCGTAGCTGGCAAGCGGCAGAGACGGAGCAGGCCGACCACCAGCTGGCCCAGCCCAAGGGAGGTAAGGCACCCGCTGGAAAAGGGGAAAAAATGGCGGACAAAAAAAATGGCGGACAGCCTTGCTTGGCGACCCCCATGAAATGGTCAATCGACTCCAAATGGGGTCCCGACCCACAGGTTGAGAACCACTGGCTTAGAAGAACAAAAAGCTATGGAAAGGTTCCGTGAATGGTTTAGCAAGATCCCATTTTTCTTCCTTATTCGTGACTTTAACTTTTTAGTTTTACTATTTCTTATTTCCTTTTGTTTTGATAGACATCCTTATCTTGAAAGGGAATAGTAGGATAGGTGTTATGACTCTGTCAGTTATATGAGTCTGTACATGGGTTTTTTTTAAAAAAAATCCTGTGCTGATGTGTGCAAATTCAGGAAAGCAAAACTAATTATTAAAAAATCATCATCATGATATCTAGCACCTACAGCGAACATATTACTCTAGTGCCATAAGTGGAAGGAGAATTATCTCTAAGGCTTTGGGGAAACTTAATTATAGTTTCATGTGGTTTGAAAAATATGAATATATGGAATATATAAATTGGGGAGTGATCTCTCTCCTCTTTCATTTTGATTTTTAGTAATTGTTCTTGAATGAAATTTGGTTTGGTTACTATTTCAGTACTGACACTGTTAGTTTTGCTAGCTAATAATGGATCTAGATAAGCTTACTCAAATGGGTCTCCTCGGAAAGACCATTGACGTGTCCCAGCAACAGGACTTAACATGCAATAAAAGAATGAGGCAAAATGTCCAGGATCTGTTAAGAAGAATATACAGATTCACAGGAATTTTGTGTGAACTTGTGAGTGTGTAGGTAGTTTTTGGTTAACAATGGCGATTGGGACTGAGATTTCTGTCGGTGTCACAATCGTAAAGGTGCAATGTCATGTAAACATACTGCTTAGCAATGACACTTCTGGTTGCCGCTCTTAAGCAAATCCTGCACTGTCATTAAGGATGACATCACCCTATTTGCATCCTCCTGCTGGCTTTCCCATTGACTTTGCTTGTAGGAAGCCAGCAAATAAAGTTGCTAATAGAATCACGTAATTGTGGGATTCTACAACATCATAATTGCAAGAGGTTCAAGATCACGTGATTGTAGATACACTGCAGCAGCCAGAACATCAAGGACTGGTCATAAGTACTATTTGTTCAGCAACATCATAATTTCAAATTGTTAATGAATGTAACGTAGATACATTTAATTCTTCAATCTGAATATTTTTGTTTGGTAGTTTCCTAGCAAAATATGCACAAGTAAGGAAGAAGAGAGAAATAGAGACAGATTAGCTTCACCTGACAGGTTCACGTGATACTTGCCAAGTAATGTTTTGCTCTACTTTTATCACTGCCTTGTGAGCATAAGTGTATCCATTTATCTAGGTGATAAAAGTAATAATCAGAAGTTATTTTGTACGGCTGCATATGTTTCAAAAATGATTCAGAAGTGTTTTCAACTCAACATGATCAGAACATCTTTATGCTGCTCAGTAGAACAGCTGATCTTCTTTCAGGCTTTTCTAGAAACTTGATAAAATTATACAGCTGTTTTAAGGAACTGAGTCATAATTTGATTCTTTTTCAGCTACAATTTTTTTTAGACTCACCGGAAAGCCTGTAAAAAGTCAGGCTACTTTATTGAAGAGTGGAGAAGTGTTTGTGCAAGGTTTGAATTGTTTCTTCCAAATGTGGAGGATACACAGCCCTTTTGTAGTATGGCCACAACCTGAAATGTGGCCATGATTTAAGGTTCAAAATAAGTGAGTAAATCCTATATAATGACTTTCAAAATCTCTGCATTCCTGAAACAGCAAATGGGAATCAATTGATAGATATGATTTAAATCGTGTGTTTTTAGTGAAGGCAAACTTCCGTAAATTCATGCGAACAGGAATCTAATTTTTTTAGTAATTCTTTTTTCCTTGTGGAAAATCTGACCCTGGATTGCAGATATTACAACAGAACTGATCCCATCACTCTCTTCCGCTTACTGTTATTGCTCTTTTGATTAAAACCTTTGCCCTGTCTAGAACTCTGGTAATCAGGAAGAAATGTCTGGATAATTACAGATTAAGTTAAGGATTATGTGGATTTTGTAGTAAATAACTTCATCATTGCAAATGTGTGCGAATACTGACGTTTCTTTTTGTTCGCTTCTTCTGTTCTGTTAATAGGTTTAACTGAAGGTTATACAACGTGCTGCACTTCATATGTTTTTGAACTTCAGCTCTCATTAATTTCATCCAGTGTGGGATTAAAGAAATCTTATGTTGGGGGGTTTTAGGATTTGAAGGCCACATATCTTAAAGTTGTTGAGGCTGAGAAACCGTGGTCTAAAATAATCTGAATGATAGCAGATGATTTATGTCTGATCTAAAGTTTGCCATTATAGCTATCGTGTCAGATGTGTAACACCTTTTACTCAAAATCTCTCAATATAAAGTTATAACAGTGGAGAACCTGGGTTCCATGAATTCCTGTCTTCAGAACTTACATATTAACACTAGTATCTTTTATTTACAGAGTAATTATTTAGTGTTCATGGCAGAGCTGTTCTGGTGGTTTGAAGTGGTGAAGCCATCATTTGTCCAGCCTCGAGTTGTAGGTCATCCTCAAGGTGATTATTATTATTATTATTATTATTATTATTATTATTATTATTATTATTATTATTATTATTATTATTATTATTATTATTATTTAGTTACTGTGATCTTCTGTTCAGCATCTGTTTTTTAACACCGAACATATATCTGAAGTGGTGAAAGCACGGGAAAATAACTTACCGAGTTCCTGTTTTTATATTATGTCAAACAACAAGAGATTCAGTGGTAGCTGATGTGTTCTTCAAGCAGAATATTCCAGGTTGAATCCTGGCACCTCCCATTCCCTACCCACACCCTTGTCTTTTTAAGTGGTCAGGAACACTTGGTAGGAATTGAAGCAGGAGTACTACCAAGGCATATAGTAATAGATTGTGTAGAACAAAAACGTTACTTAGTAAAGAAAGCTTTGTGAGTTCAGTTGTGCATCTCATCATGTCTTGGTTCGTGCAACTTCAGTGCTTTAAGGCAAGGCTTTTCAACCAGTGGTATGGGTACCACCTGTTGTACATTGGCACCTGGCAGGTGGTATGCGACCATCCTAGAAAAGTGGTAGCGGGGGAGGGGATTAAGCTGAACCAGTGGCAGCACCGCACAAGCCTGAGTGAGAGATGGCTGGAGCTGCAGGGCTATCAGGGCTCAGTGGAAGCGCTAGGATCAGCGCCAGGCTCCAGCTAGAGCTCGGCACTGATCCTGGTGCTTCTGCTGAGCCCTGAAGAAGCACCGATCAGCTGGAAAACAGCACTGATCCTGGTGCTTCTGCTGAGCCCAGAAGAAGCGCCGATCAGCTGGAATGTTGCAGCATCTCCAGGGTCTTGTGATTTACATTCAGATACTTGACAACTGATTCATATTTATGATGGTCACAGTGTCCCAGGGTCATGTGAAGTGACCAAAACCTGCTGCAACCACCCAGCAGACGGGGGAATAAAAACCAAACACCCCCCACCCCACCCCCGCTGCCAATCCTCAACAGAAATGCTCACAACAATGGAAACCTCAGACAGGAGGAAGAGCGCCGCCAGGCGGGCAGGCAGGTGTCTTGCTCGGCACTTTTTTCAGTGCCATTGTAACTTCAAACAGTCACTAAGTGAACTGTTGTAAGTCGAGGACTACCTGTACTTTATCACTTTTTTCCTTTTTTTTTGTCATCAGGTTTTTGACATCTTGCTAGGCGACTGATGGTACTCAGATATTGCCACAACCTAAAAGTGGTACAATGGGTGAAAAGGTTGAAAAGCCCTGCTTTAAGGGACCACGCTGTTCCTTTGCATCCATATCTCTGTACAGCCCTATAATTTATATTATGTCCTTTTGCTCACTAAAGTAGAACTTCAAGTAACAGCATTCAAAGAACTCTTGTTGTTTCTAGCATTTCTCCTGCTTGGTTTCAGGATCTGCTTGTTTGTGAACTGCATTCCTTCAGTTCACATAATTAAGCTGTCAATCCATGATGCAACAGGGAGTTGTATTTTTCAGTCCTCTCATTACAGAACCTAATCCTGATTATTAAGACTGAGAAGGAATACTTGGCCCAGCATCACCTTAGGCTTTCATGCCTAAGAGAACACTACGGCCTCAGTTTGCCCACTCATAATCCATCATCTTAATTCCTTTCCCATACTGGTTCCCCTGGATAGCAATGAGCTGCCTGTCTGATTGATAGAAACTTGGATGGAAAGGGTGGACCACATTAGCAGATTGGACTTCTCTTTTCTGTCAACTAGCTGATCATCCTTCATTGTCAGGAAAAAGTTTATATATCCAAATGTAGGATAAGGTTGGGATGAATCTAGCATTCTAGCAAGTTGACTTGCATCCTGGAGCAAATTTTGCAGCTCTATCCATTGCCATACTTCAGATTTAATACAGAACTTCCAACTGAAAAAAGCTTTCCCATTGACTTCAACATTAATGTTTCCACGAGCTCCTAAATGTAATTGATGGCAAAGTAAGATAGATAGTTACATGAGATGAGCTCCATAACAGGTACATGCTGGATCAATTGAAGTTTTGTCTACATCTTCATTTCTACAACCTTAATGTGTGAAATATTTATCTTCTGTGCAGCTGAACCTTCAAAGGAAGCATCTTCTGTTCCTCCTACAAATGCCAATCAAAGAAGTTACCCAGGTGTTTTGCATGGTTCTGATCTTATAAGCAGGTATCAGCCCAGTTGAGCATGTCTCTCAATCTTTTTTCTTCTCCTGTTTTCCTTTCTCCTTCTCTCAATGAACTGTGAAAAATAGATGCTTTACTCTTTGGAGGATCCTAGAAAAGGAGATGAATCTTGCTATGCTCTCTCATTGATGTAAAAAAGGCCTTTGTATGTTAAAAAATAAAGGTGCCAGAACTAAAGGCATGCAAAATGCTGGTGTCGATATATTAAGGAGATAGCACTTAAATGCTTATGCCATAGGATGTACAGTATATTAGTCATTAAAATGCCAAAACAGAAGATTGCTATACCATCTAGGACAGGGGTCTGCAACCTTGAGAACTTTAAGACTTGTGGATTTCAACTCCCAGACCTATGCTGGCTGAGGAATTCTGGGAACTGAAGTCCACAAGACTTTAAGTTCTCAAGATTGCAGACCCCTGATCTAGGACTTGTGCTGATTGTCTTGCAAACAATACTTCATTAAGCTTCTAAACAAGACCCAAGAGTTTCCAAGGTTCACTTTCAAAACCAGTGATTTATTGAATTTCAGTGTCACTCCAATTCTGATTAATTAAGAATTTGTTCTAGCTTAAATCGGTAGTGTTCCTTCTAGAATACGAAAAGCTTGTTAAGTGTCTGATGGGCTTACTTCTATCATCAGTAGAAGTTAATTAATTTTATATATATTCTGGAAAGCATAATTGCTGCCTGAGATGCAAAAGACAATCTGTCCTGCCACATATCATATTGAATAGTTTTTCATGTCTCACAAAATGTTAACTAGGGTTGTGAGAATCAGAAACTATATTTCTGTCCATCTTACTTTATGATTTATCTAGGAAGCAAGATGATATACTAATTAGAATGATTAGGCTAAAACAAAGGAGCTTACATTCAGGTCTCTACTTCATTTTGCAGTTCCCTTGAAACGTTAGGCCAGTCACTAAGCCTTACAAAGCTTAAAAGTGAGGGATATCCTATAGATACTGCCTTGATTTATTAATTGAAATATTGGCTATAGAAACCAGGAACACATAGAAAAGGCTTAAAATGTCATAATATTTGCAACATAGATGGTATTTGAAAAGTATGTGCTATTGTAGGGAAGATAACAGCTTTCTTAGGTGTGATGGTTCTATATGATCAGAAAATGATCTTCAGTTCATCGAATTAAGCAAAGTATGCATATCAATTAACATAGCAATTAAAGTAATACTGTGCACTTTCTCAAGGGGCAAAGATTTTACTGATATTTTTTTTTAATAGGGAAAAATAATCCTCCTGACTTCTTATACATTAAGTAGGCCATTGGAGCACTGAAGTAGATATTGCTCCTTTCTAGTTTTGAATATGTTTCCCTAGCTCAGTGATGGTGAACCTTTTAGAGACCGAGTGCCCAAACCGAAACCCAAAACCCACTTATTTATCGCAAAGTGCCAAGGCTGCATCAGCATTGTGGTGCCCTCAGGGGGTGGGTGGGGGTGGGCGTGGCCCGCTGGGTGGTTGTGGCTGCAGTGGACACGGCAGACTGGGTGTGGCTGGGGTGGGCGTGGCCACCTTGATGTTGCTCGTGGGGGGACGCCTGTGGGGGCTGAGCAGGAATGAGGGAGATCCAGGGGGTCTCTGGTGGGTCAGGTGGTGGTAGGAGGCTCGTCCTATGGGGTGAGGGCAGGGGTGCCATTGCTGCGGGGCATGGCGAGGCAGGGGGGCTGCTTCCTGACACCATCAGCCCCCGCACAGACGCCAGCGAGCACATGGGAGCGTGGTCTACCACCTCTACTCGAGCTTGCTAGCCAGCTGCTTCGCCTCCTTTGTGCTGGGTGGGGCTGCCGCTCGAGGCGCCAGCAGTGGCCTAATGGACCTGCACAAGCTGGCGGCAGTGGCAGCAGGTGTGCCCACAGAGAGAGCTCTGAGTGCCGCCTCTGGCACGCGTGCCATAGGTTCGCCATCACTGCCCTAGCTGGACAGTATTAACAATTTATGATGTTGTTATTCAGTGTTTTAATTTTTGTGACTCATATGGAATGTATATTTTCTAGAACTGGTTGCCATTGAAGCATTGTGTAAGGAAGAATAATAAATAAATAATGCAGGATTGCTTCTTAACAGTCTGCTCAGGTCTGCATGTTTTTCAAGTGACAAACAGACAGACAGAAGACAGACACCCAAACAGAAAACTAACAAGGGGTGGGTTTTCTCATTTTTCAGTGTGGGGACTTCAGCTTTTATACCATCTCATCAGATTCCTCCTCCAGGGCTCACGCAGCAACAACCTTACTCATCAGTCCCAGGTACCAACATGTAACTGAATGACTGGATTTTAGGCTGTTCATATTCTGCTACTTCGTCATTCCTCAAAAGAGAATCTGTTTCTTAGAATCACACATAATCTTCATGCATGACTTAGAATGACAGGCAGTCCTCAACATGCAAGCACAAGGGAGCCCAAAATTTCTGTTGCCAAGTGAAACATTTAAGTGAATTTTTGTCACATTTTACGACCTCTCTTGCCAAAGTTGTTAAATGAATCACTGCAGTTGTTAAGTTAGTGACTTGGTTGTTAAGTGAATCTGGCTTCCCCCATTGACTTTGCTTGTCAGAAGGCCGCAGAAGATGATCTCATGACCCCGGGGCACTGCAACCGTCATAAATATGAGTCAATTGCCAGGCGATCAAAGGGTTGCTGCAATAGTCGTAAGGGTGAAAAACGGTCATAAGTCACTCTTTTTAGAGCCGTTGCAACTTTGAACAGTCACTAAATGAACTGTTGTAAGTCAAGGCCTATCTGTATTAAAATTCTTATTTCTTTTTCTTTAAAAAAAAAAGGATACAGATGACGTTCTCTCGGCCACTCTCAATTATCTGCCAAAGAAATGTTAGGTTACAGTCCTTCATTGGCCCAGTATCTTTCCAACAATTTTATGGCTAAAGTAGAATCTGTTTTGCCATTCCAAGTTTGATACCCAGTTCAGTATGCAATTCTAGGCCATTTCAATCATTATCGAAAATGAGAACACTCCCAACCCTAACACAGATGTATAGGATTGGTCACATGATCAAAATTTGGATGTTTGGCAACTGACTAGCAAAGTCAATGGGGAAGCCAGATTCACTTAACGACCGTGTTACTAACTTAACAACTGCAGTGATTCACTTAACAACTGTGGCAAAAAAGATCGTAAAATGGGGCAAAACTCACTTAACAGCTGTCTTGCTTATCAATAGATATTTGGGGCTTAATTGTGGCCATAGATCGAGAACTACCTGTACAACTTACATGTTGAGGGCTTTACTCCAAAAGCATCTGGGCCTTTTTGTTGTTGTTTTTTTGTTTATAACTTTACTTTTAATTTCATTTATTAGTTCAGGTCTTGTATTCTATATCATTGTCCTAATTCCTGATGAAGATAGATAGATAGATAGATAGATAGATAGATAGATAGATAGATAGATAGATAGATAGATAGATAGATAGATAGATACATAGATACATAGATACATAGATACATAGATACATAGATACATAGATACATACATAGATACATACATAGATACATACATAGATACATACATAGATACATAGATTAGACAGACAGACAGACAAGACAAGACAAGACAACAAAATGCAGGATTTTAAATCATTACATGGGTTATTTTTTTAAGGGCATAGGGAGACACTGAAGCCTTTAGTAGGATAGATAATTGGTGGTTTATGAAAGCAGTGAAGGGAGGCTGCAGAAGAGGTGAAAGGATGTGAGAAAAGACAAGGTTGGGTAATCAAAACAACTTTACAGGTCTCATCAGATGTTTTGCCAAGCTGCCTGCAGCTGATGTACTACCTTTTCCTTGCTCATGGCCTAGGATTGCCGTATTACAAATGCATATTTAATTTCCGTACCGGTAGCTTGCTTTATAAATCAGTGCCAAAAATTCATTTCAACTTCTTAAGCCAATTCAGTTGTTGCTTTCTGTTTACATTTTCTTTTTAAAACTTTCCGAAGAATTATTCTTATATTGCATTCTGTATTGACTTTAAAAGGCGGCATTAAAAGATCGACATCTATGTCCTACGTGGATGGGTATGTAGGGACGTGGCCCAAAGAAAAAAGGTAAGATCTTTGCCTATTGGGACTTAATTGCCTTATATAATGAATTAAGTCATTATTTAATCATTTTTTGCATGTCATTTTTGAAGTGTCATCCTTGCAGATAACCACTGCTTATCTTCAGTGACATTTAATAGTCATATCTTGAATATAGGGTTGAGGTTATATCTTGTCGTATAGGTTTGAAGATAGCATAAAGAATATTATTCTTTAATTCTAACTTATTGGAATTTTTAAACTTCAATATTACATCGGTTATTCTAAGACTTCTTAATTTTAAAATCCCTTCCAGGTCTTCGGTCCATGGGGTTTCATTTGACATTTCTTTTGATAAAGAAGACAGCATCCGTATGACACCTCCAAACAGAGGAATTACGAGATCTATTAGTAATGAAGGACTTGTGCAGAATACTAACCACATGCCCAGACACATCAAAAGGAATATATCTTTCAAGCCTCTGGATGATGAAGAGGACAGTGAAGATTCTGAAGCAGAAAAAGATGTAGAATTTTGCAGTGATCTAGAAGCAGACAGCAATCAAAGAAATGCCAACCAGGTTAACACATACACCTTACCAAATGGAGCATTGCAAAACAGGTTGGTTACTGATGAATTTGGCAATCAAATTGAGACACCCAGCATTGAACAGGCTTTGCACATTATCCATCATAATGAGAAATCTGCTCACATTACTCCACCAGCACAATTTACAAATGGGTTTTTCCTTCACAACAAAGAGATGAGCATCCTAAACTCAAACATGACACCTAATCAAAGTAGCCCTGATATTATTGCAGATACAAAAGGTGCCCTCAGTCCTGTTACTGATAACACAGAAGTAGACACTGGAATACATGTCCCATCAGACATTCCAGAGACTATGGATGAAGATTCTACTTTAAGGGATTATACAGTCAGCCTGGATTCTGATCTGGAAGAATCATCTCGCTTTCCGCATGAATCTGACAGCAGAGGCATCAACTATAAGGAGCAACTGAGTCCTTGTCCAAGCTCAATAAGTACTAAATCTCAAGCTGGCAGTAGTCCATCTTCAAGTTCAGGAGTTAGAATGACCAGCTTTGCAGAGCAGAAATTTAAAAAGATGAATCATACCGACAGCAGAAGCAGTGGAAGCAGTTCTCAGAAAACCACTCCCGAAGGTTCGGAGATGAACATTCCACACATTGTTTCTTGGGCTCAAATCCCAGAGGAATCCCCTCTCCCTCAGGGAAGGGACACAACACAGTTGCTAGCTTCTGAAATGGTGCAACTGAAGATGAAACTGGAAGAGAAGAGGCGAGCGATTGAAGCCCAGAAGAAGAAGGTTGAGGCAGCGTTCACAAAACAGAGACAAAAAATGGGAAGAACAGCATTCCTTAATGTTGTGAAAAAGAAAAATGATGGGATTTCACCACTTCGGGAAGAAGCAGCTGGAGCAGAGGGTGAGAAAGTGTTTACTGACAACAGTGGGGTGAAAGAAAAAGAAAACCAAAAGCCGGGTGAACAACTGAACAAGACTTCTGAGGCCCTGAAAGTAAGCACTGAAACTCCCTCAACGATGTGGCTGAAGCCACCAAACACCCCAGGCGATGCTGAGAAGCAGTCTAATTTGGTAAGTCCTTCTGAAGAGAATTTAAATGAAGGTGACCTTTTAGAATATACAAAATCCATCGAGAAGCTCAACTCTTCTCTACATTTCCTGCAACAGGAAATGCAACGCCTGTCACTTCAGCAAGAGATGCTACTGCAGATGAGGGAACAGCAAGCATGGGTTATTTCACCTCCTCAACCTTCTCCTCAAAAACAAATTCGGGAATTGAAGCCTTCGGCAAGGCTTAGCGGATCATCATCTCCCGTTGTCCCATTTTCAGTAGAAACGCCTCGGCCTTCCCAACAATCCCCACAGACATCTTCTAGGAAGAATTCATCTCTCCCAGGTAAAATACAAAGGACTCCAAGGCCAAATGAACTGAAAATTACACCTTTGAATCGCACTTTGACTGCCCCGCGATCTGTTGATAGCCTCCCACGGTTGAGAAGATTTTCTCCAAGCCAGATTCAGACTAGATCTTTTGTTTGTTTTGGGGATGATGGTGAAAAGAAGCCTCAAACTGAGGTAAAAAACACGACCGAAGAGGTTGCTGACAAGGAAGAAGCAGGTGAAAAGGATGGCGAGAAGCAAGAAACTGAAGGGAAAGTTGAGCAAAAATCAGAAGAACAGATCAGACCTCTGGAATCCACGGTTTCTGAAGTATTGTCACAGCCTGTTACAGAAATTGTCTGCCTTACTCCAAACGAAGAACCTTTAAATCCACCAGTGTTGCCCCCACCTGCATCTAAGACTGTTAGCCTCATAGAAGTTTCTCTCACAGATTTGAAGCCACCAGAGAAGTTAGAAGACTCAATTGAAAAATCAGAGGGTGAGAGTGACAAAGAACAACCAGAGGATGACCAGAAAGTATGCTGTGGATTCTTCTTCAAGGTAAGTGGATATATCACAATCTGTTTGGACAATTGAGTTGTAAGATATGCTACATCAAATAATAGTAATGGGGGGAAAAATAAATATTTTTCACTCACTAAAGGTAGTCCTCAACTTACAACCACAATGAAGCCCCAAATACCTGTTGGTAAGCAAGACCGTTGTTAAGTGAGTTGTGCCCCATTTTGCATTTTTGTTTGACACAATTGTTAAGTGAATCACTGCAGTTGAGTGAATCATGAGGTTGTTAAGTGAATCTGGCTTCTCGCATTGACTTCACTTGTCAGATGCCACCTGGAAAGGCTACAAATGGTGTTCACGTGATCCTGAGACAGTGTAAATGTCCTAAATGCATGCCAGTTGCCAATCGTTTGAATTTTGATCACGTGACTATGGGGATGCTACAACAAGCATAAGTGTGAAAAACGGTCATAACGGTCACTTTTTTCAGTGCCATTGTAACTTCAAATAGTCACTAAATAAATTATTGTAAGTCAAGGACTACCTGTATTGTTCGTTACAGTAGTTTTTCAAACAACATATTATATTTAGGATGTTTAGGGAAAACAAGAATTTTAGAATAGATTAATTCTAAAATAACAGGGATTTTGTTTCTCTGATGGTTAGGTTTTCCAGCTGTGTTCATACTAATATTGTCTCCTGATATTATGTGGAACTGTACTTAAGATCATGGGCACCTTTCCAGAGAATAACGTTTAAAGGGGCAAGAAGAAAAAAGCATTATGTTTTATGCAAATATTAATAATAATAATAATAATAATAATAATAATAATAATAATAATAATAATAATAATAATAATAATAATAATAATAATAAGAAGAAGAAGAAGAAGAAGAAGAAGAAGAAGAAGAAGAAGAAGAAGAAGAAGAAGAAGTTGTAGTTGTAGTTGTAGTAGTAATAGTAGTAGTAGTAGTAGTTGGAAGGGACCTTGGAGGTCATCTAGTCCAACCCCCCCGCTCAGGCAGGAAACCCTATACCATTTCAGACAAATGGCTGTCTCTTTTTAAAGTGCTTCTCTCCTTGATTAGTTTAGGTTGCTTCTCTCCTTGATTAGTTTCCATCCGTTGCTTCTTGTCCTGCCTTCAGGTGCTTTGGAGAATAGCTTGACTCCCTCTTCTTTGTGGCAATCCCTGAGATATTGGAATACTGCTATCATGTCACCCCTAGTCCTTCTCTTCATTAAACTAGACTTACCCAATTCCAGTGACCGTTCCTTATATGTTTTAGCTTCCAGTCCCCTAATCATCTTTGTTGCTCTTCTCTGTACTCTTTCTAGAGTCTCAACATCTTTTTTACATCGTGGTGACCAAAACTGGATGCAGTATTCCAAGTGTGGCCTTACTAAGGCATTGTAAAGTGGTATTAATACTTCACGTGATCTTGATTCTATCCCTCTGTTAATGCAGCCTAGCACTGTGTTGGCTTTTTTGGCAGCTGCAGCACACTGCACAGCACATCTTATTTTGAAGTTTTTGTGGGCAAAACAAGATAGGAACAGGGCAGTTTTCATTTCAAATTTTCTGGCACAGTTGAGGAAGTGGTATGGGAATTATATGAGATCAATATGTTGCCCTCTCTGGATTACACAGTAACTAAAGCCTAAATGATAATTTTAACGTGTTATTTATTGTTGCTAGGATGATCAAAAACCAGAAAATGACATGGCCGTGAAACGGGCAGCATTATTGGAGAAGCGATTGAGGAGAGAAAGAGAAACTTTACTTCGAAAGCAGCAATTGGAAGCAGAGATGGAGCATAAGAAAGAAGAAACAAAGTAAGATTAAATGCATACACTTATAGTTCTGAAAGAAATGTTGCTTTTTAAAGGTTAGTCTATTAAAATCAACGCCTTCATGATTAACCTCATTAATCAAGTAAAATGTCACATAATTTACTTATGAGGAAGTCAGTTTTTACAAAGACTTTATATTTTTGTGAGACTCAATTTATTGTATATCAAGATATAAAAGAAAAGATACTGTGACTAAACATGAGTGATATAGTGATTAATATTAATATATTGTATATGTTTATTCAAGTACTTATGATTAAATAAGGCTGGAATGTACTACCACGCCCTCAGCATGGTGACGGTTTTTAAATAATGGACAGGTTTAAAGATATAGGGCAAATTTGATTTCTTGCCTCATCATCAGAGCACATTAAACTCAAGACTGAATATTCCATATTTTTTCTTTATTTTTTTTAAATATGAGTAGAAATTTGGCAGCACTAGCCACATAAGTCAGCAACCAGACAACTTTGAATTTTTTGAATTGGAGTTCAACAAATTAGGATCTGAAGCAATCATTTTATTCTGGTTTATTTTCACTAAGATTGTGCATACTTAGAAAATTATTCAGAAGTGATTGGACTAATATAATCATAGCATATCTCTGCTGTTCATTAAATCAGGTCATTTTTTTTTCAGGTTTCCATGCTAAGATTTGCATTAACTTATTAAAGTTGATTCCTTAGGCTTACATTGATCGATTATGTGTCATTAAGTTCTTGACTGTTAGTGACTGCCACTAACAAATAGATGTTCTCCATGATGATCTATCCCAGGGGTAGGCAACCTTGGCTCTTTTATGACTCATGGACTTCAACTCCCAGAATTCCTGAGCCATCATAAAAGAGCCAAGGTTGCCTACCCCTGGTCTATCCCTTACAAGGTCTTTCTGATCTTCTAATGGCTCACCTATCACTATGTAATTGAGTCAATCCATCTACAGTAGTTGCTGGTAACTCTCTTCTCTTTTCTTCCTCCTATCCTGGCATTAGAGCCACCTCTAGAGAAGTAGGTCTTCATATAATGTATGAAGCTTTTTTGAGCCTGGTCATTTATGCCTCAAGTGAGAACTCTGGATTGATTTGTTTCATGGTACATTGGTTCTTGGCTGCCATGATATTCCCAACATCAAAGTTCAAAAGCATCAATATCTCTTCCTAATCTGCTTCATAGAAGCCTGAAAAAGAGACAGGCTTCTTTAACTAATAGTGATCTTACTGTAAAGCACACCTTCTGCGTCATTTTCAAACATCTTGTTGTTCAGTCGCTAAATCATGACTGACTTTTCATGACCCTTGGACTATAGCACAACAGACTCCCCTATCCTCCACTGTCTCCTGGTATTTGCCCAAATTCATTTTCATTGTATCAACAACACTGTTTAAGCATCTCATACTCTGCTGTCCCCTTCTCCTTTTGCCTTCAACCTTGTGCTTAGCATAATTCTGTATTAATAACAGTTGTGATAAATCAAAGATTCCAGGTTCGGATGGTATGGGGAGCTATTAATGTTTAAAAATCAAAAAGAGATTATTTATTTATTTATTTATTTAATTACATTTATATCCCGCCCTTCTCCTTGCGGACTCAGGGCGGCTGACAATAGATAAAATGCTAACATGTTATACATCTAATTAAAATCGATTAAAAAGAAATATTTAAATACGTCCAATTTAAAAGTAATTAAAACCCCTTTAAAATCCCTTAGGCCAGTCCCGCGAGCTGGAACAACCACGTC